TTTTAACGTGGTAAATATTTCGTTTTTATGACACTGATTTTGATATTTCACAAAAAAAAAATACATAAAATGGTATTTATGATGTGATGTTGTTGTGACATGCCATTTTGATGGAGATATGGAATTTGTATTTAATTTCAAGTATATACATACACTCATACTCACATAATTTCACACACACACGTATATATCCATATTCATATGGAAAGAAACAAAAGAGAAAAAAACAGGAATAAATAAACAAAACAGTCATCCATTCAAATTAATATCCTTACTGAGAATCACAACAGATTCCCATACAAACATACACACACACATACATAACATACTCCTTCATATGCATACACCAAACTCACCACAAACTCATTTCATCGTTCAGATAGTATTTTGTTGACATTGATAAACTCGAATGAACTTTTCAAATAGAAAAAAAAGAAAGGAAGAAAAAAGAAAACACACACACACAACAAACAAACAAAAAAATCAAATTAAAAAAATAAATATAATAATACATTGTTCTGCAGTTGAGATATCCCTATTTTATGCAGATAAACCGAGAAAAAAAAATCAGTGGGATATACAGGCAGATGAGGATGAGTCTTCTTCTTGTTGTGTAAACCTCATCTTAATTGGTATGGATTATTTTTCATTTGAATGCAGAGGTTAACACAGTGCAACATAATTATTATTTTGTTGTGATGATTTGGGGGAAACAAATTTAAGCCACGCTTGTGATGATTGGGGAAACATATATATTTTTTAAAGACTCTTGGGAGGGGTGTGGAAAAAAATGTTTAGATCTACTACAGTCTCCTTCGAGTGACCATTTTTGCGTAAGGTAAAATAAGTGGGCCTATAGTCTGCATTTAAATTTATTTTAGAGAAGTATGATAAACACAAATGTAATGAATCCAATTTTCTTGCAACAGACTTGGTCCAAAGAGAAACATGAGTTCTAAGGTTTAAGGAGCTCTCGATGCCTGCAGATTTATTTAACCGTTATTCACCACCTACCAAGGGTTGCTTCATACCAAGTATTTGGTCAGATTTTCTTCATCGTGTAAAATATGCGATGTTCTGCATATAATAATGACTTCTAGAGTGACTAGAGATTCTGATAAAAATCAAGTTTTCGGTTCACTGCAATCCCTAATAAAATCTCAACATCAATGAAAATTATAGGCGTCGTCCTTGATAATAGCCGGAACTTCGTGTAAAATTTCAGCGCAACATTTTTGCTTTCTAACGGGGTAATAGTAATACTGAACAATAACATAACAAAACCAGTGAGCGGGGCAGTATAGTCCAACGGGGCCGACCATATGTTACCCTACACAACTTACACGAAAATCTAACATTCTATGGTTCTATATTCTGAGCCTGGACAATATTACTAATATTCAGTACAACCCTTCTAATTTATTGGCCATATTCCCTTCACCGTGGGTTGTGTTGCGATGTTCGGCTTTTAATTGCGGTCTATAGATCGACTCGAAATAATTCAAACCAGTGAGCGGAGCAGTATAGTCGGACGGGGCCGACCATACGATACCCTACACAACTACCACGGAACTCAAATTTTCTGCGAATGTATTTTCCGAGCCTGTGCAATATTTCGTGATACAGCACCTCTTCCTCACACCGACATATTTTCCAAATATTACGAGTATTCAGTACAGCTATTGTCCAGATTCCCTTCACCGTGGGTTGTGTTGTGATGTTCGGCTTTCATTTATGGTCTATAGATCGACTCGAAAATAACGCAAAAAATTAAGTTTTCGGTCCACTTCATTCCAAAATTATTATCTGATCATCACCGACCATAAATGGAACCTCATGAAATATTTCAAAGCGACCAGCGCTATAGTTCCGCTCTCTAGAGTGATATTGGGTTACTTAATAATATACGAATACGGAGATATTTGTAAATATTTAGGTGTAACTCCCACATCCGATCACATACAACAATATAATTGGTATTAATTTAAAAGTCAACCACACCTATGGATGTAATATCAACTTCTCGGGTCTATGTCCATCAGAGGTAAATATATACGCTATAGAATACAAAATTTGTCATTTTTCACACAAAAGTCAGGGTCCAATTGACCCGCTAAACATTGACCGATCTTTATCAAAACAGGCATGTTTATTCTGTGGCCGATCCCCTTCTCCATGCAAAAAAATTTACAAACAAAAACAAAAATTTAGTATTTGGTCCATCATCCCCTAAATATTAACCGATCTTTCTTAAAAACAATAGGGGTCTTCATTGGCCAGAACCCATCCTACATGTAAAATTTCGTGAAGATTGGTCCACAACTGTGGCCTGTATCGAGTTTACAAAATATAATGGACAGACGGACAGATGGAAGAACGGACACACATGTCTAGATCGACTCAGCTAGTCGAGATATGACGATCGGTATACTTAAAGGTGGGTCTAGGACCAATATTTCGCGGTGTTACAAACTTATGGGGCTGCACAAAACTATAATATCCTGACAACATAGTTGTGTAGGATTTAAAAATCCACGTCTATATTTAATGTAGAAAAATATTTTTTATATACTCCACGAATAGTTTGGTTAAATATAATATTTTTTTTAAAAAATTAAAAAATTAAATTAAAAAAATATTTTTTTAAAAAATTAAGGCCAAAATAGGTTGTGGAAAATATATTTTTATACCTTCCACCATAGTATGGACGGTATATTAATTTTCTTTTTCCGTTTGTAACTCATCGAAATAATCGTGTTCGACCCTATAAAGTATATATATATATATATATTCTTGATCAGCGTAAAATTCTATGACGATATAGCTATGTCCGTCTGTCTGTTGTAGTCACTCCAGCGTCTAAACGAATTGAGATAGATCGCCAACATTTTGCATAGAGTCGTCTTATGTCTGCAGGCAGGTTAAGTTCGAAGATGGGCTTTATCGTTCCTCGTTTAGGCATAGCTCCCATATAAGGGTACCCACCCAATTTTCGGTATTTTGGGGTTCTTGAGCGCGTTTTTCAACCGAATTCGCTGAAATTTGGTACATTGGGTTCTTTTTGGGTTCCAAATGTCTCCACAAAAAATGATAAGTATGGGTCCACTTTTTCTGGTAGCCCCCATATAACAATACCTCCCAATTTTCAGTATTTTGAGGGATTTTATCGTATTTTCCCTCCGAATTAGCTGTAATTTAGTATTTTGACCTCTTAATAGGTACCAAATCTCTCCACAAAAAATTATGAATATAGGTCAATTTTTTCGGATAGCCCTCATATCGGTATTTTGGTTCTTGAGCGCGTTTTTCAGCCGAATTTGCTGCAATTTGGTATTTTGTAGTCGTATATGGTAAGAAATCACCCCACCAAAAATTATTGATATTCGCCCCTTTTATATATTAAAATAGTTATTATATACATTTAGAGCTAGCTCCGATATTCTCCATCTTCTCTATTTGAACTAAGTTTGGAAGAAATAATAAGATGGGCAAAATTTGGAGGAAATCTAAATTTTCTGAAACGGATTTGGTCCAAAGAAACATGGGGTTTAGAACCAATATTTCGATGAGGCACATTTTCACCGTGTTAAAGTGTATACACCCTCATTAGCAATAAGGCTGAGGCTATAACTATCCATTAAAAATTTCTGAAATTTTTATTATGGTATACATAATCCGTTTTCAGAAATGTCGGTATAGGTCCACTTTTTGGTATGTTCCTTATATTTTCATTTCTAGTACCTGTCAGTATATCTATGGTGGAGGGTATCCAAAGTTCGGCCTGGGCGAACTTAACGCTTTTTCACTTGTTTTTTTTTTTTTTTTAATTCGCACTTGATTATATCGTTTTTAACCCTTTGAGCCCCGAATTATTTCTGTGACTATAGAACTATTTTCTGTGCACAGATTTAATGTAATTATCCTAAATAGGGTATGAACAAAATTTGACATTGCTACATCCTTGCATTCGGGAGATACAGTGCCATCTTTCTGAAAAATAAAAGTCCAATATCAAGAAAAGCAAATGCAATATCGACGAAAAAAATCACTTTTAATTATTCTTTTAGTTATTTTTTACAAGACTCAACAGTAATTTGGAGGGAACAATTCGTTCATTTGGAATACGAGGCGATTTAAATAATTTGTACTGTATACTCTAATTGGTACTGTACACAATTTTGCACTTATCCAAATATTGAAAAGCGTATAACTTGACCAAAAATTTGAATTTTTTCGATTTTTCTTTTGATATGTATCGTCCATAATCAGGGCTTGAAAGAATGTAAATTTTCCAGCTGCGTATTAAATATAAGCTCTGAAATATTATGTTGCCTGTGGGCAACATTGGGCCACAAAGGGTTAAAAGTATTAAAAAAAGTGTAAGCTTGTAATGGTTGTTTTTTTTTAAATCATGCTTATAATGCATGTGCTTTTAAATCCCCGGTTGTATTTTTGTTGCACTGTGTTACCTTAAAAAATAATAATAAAAAAATATTTTTATTGAAAAGTTATGGCCTATCCCACTTTAATCCTTGTAAATTATATTTACTTCCAGTTTTTTTGTATTGTATGTTTGCATGATAATTAAGTACAAGTGACAAAAAATAAATAAATATCTTGAATATAAAAAAGCATAACAAAAAATTAACACACACATCCTCTCAACATCTCACACTCATATCACACACAAAAAAAATAAAATAAATAAAAAATTCAATTATCATTAACTTAAAACATAGTCATGTTATGCTGTACAGTCTGAGTTTAACTCAATTTGTCATTTGCTTTGGGTTTTTTTTATCGTTTTGTTTCTTTTTTTACAATCTTCAATTTCCACCTTTTTGTTTTCTTACATACAGAGAAATGTCTAACTACAACAAACAAAAAAAAAAAAACTTCTTTGTTTAATACATACATTTTTTACACAACATTATTACTTGTTACACGCGGTTATCATATCCTTATACTGTAATTTTTCTTCTATGATTATTGAGATTTTCTTATTCTTCGGGCCAGCCCAAATCTTCACCAACCAATTCATAGAACCGTTGATTATGTTCGGCAAAGAATTTGCGCAGTTTCGAAATGACCACCGGATCAACATGTGGATGTTTACGTCCTTTCGTTTCGCGTAAACACCGATCACCGCTATCGTAGCGTAAACAGTAGAATCCTTTCGTTTCATTGAAATAGAAGTGGTTGTTGGTAATGCGATGTTCAATGCCTGTCGAAGACGAAGAAGAAGAAAATGAATTATTTTATAAAGAAGAAGAATGATTTATTTTATAAATTTTGCTATTTATTTTAATTTATACATAATAAATTTTATAAATAAATAAATTTTATTGTTCTAACTACAGGGTGAGATGAAAAAATTGCAACCGACTTCAGACTGCTGTCATTTCTAAGCCACTCGTCCGAAAGTTTTTAACATTTTTCCAGTGACAGCTCATTATATTGTTTACAAGCGTACAAAAACATTTTGGTAAGAATTTTCCAGCAAAAAATTATTTGTGATGGAACAGAAGTTAAAAAGACTGAAACCAGTAAGGAAAGTAGTTAAGTCGGACGGGGCCGACTATATGATACCCTTCACCACTTTGGGTATATTCAACAGATAAATCCTAACAGACGTCGCATTTTTGAAGGACCATAAGATATAGAGTTGCTATATATATATATATATACATACATAATATATATATATATATATATATGAACTGATTTCAATGAGTCTTGCCAGAAATTTACTTATATTAACTACAGTTCATTGTAAACCAGTGAGCGGAGCAGTATAGTCGGACGGGGCCGACCATACGATACCCTACACAACTACCACGGAATTCTAACTTTCTGCGGACATTCTATTCATATATTTTTTTCTATTCATTACTATTCATATTCAGTACAGCCATTCTATTTAATTGTCCAGATTCCCTTCACCGTGGGTTGTGTTGTGATGATCGGCCTATTATTGGCATCGACTCGAAAAAATACCAAAAAATTAAGTATTCGCTCCACTTCATCCCATAACTATAGTCTGATCATCACCGAAAGTTATAGGCGTTGTCCTTGCCCATAACTGGATCCTCATGGAAACTTTCGAAGCGATCAGCGCCATATTTCCGCCCTTAAGTGTGGTAATGGGTTACTAAATATCTCAGTACGCACGCATCTGAAAATATTTTAATGTAACTCCCACATCTGAGTACGTACGACCATATAATTGGTATGAATTTAAAGGTCAACCACTCCTCTTGGATATACAATCAACTTCTCGGGTCTATGTCCTTCAGGGGCAAATATATAGGCAATAGAATACAAATTTTGTAATTTTTCACACAAAAGTCAGGGCCCATTTGACCTACTAAATATTGACCGATCCTTATCAAAACAGGCATGCTTATTCTTTGGCCCGATCCCCTTCTCCATGTAAAATTTCGGGATGTTCACGCCATAATTACGGCCTCTGGAGCGACCAGAAAAACCGACAAAAATTTAGTATTTGATCCTTTTCATCCCCTATATATTAACCGATCTTTACCAAAAACAATAGGGGTCTTCATTGGCCAGAATCCATCCTACATGCAAAATTTCGTTAAGATTGGTCCATAACTGTGGCCTGTATCGTGTTTACAAATTATAGTGGACAGACGGACGGACGGACACACATGTCTAGATCGACTCAGCTAGTCGAGATATGACGATCGGTATAGGTGGGTCTAGGACCAATATTTCGCGGCGTTACAAACTTTTGGGGCTGCACAAAACTATAATACCCTGACAACATAGTTGTGTAGGGTATAAAACTTGTGTGACAATCGGACAAACTTTGGGTCTTAAGTGCACAATTTACATAAAATCGGAAGAGAGATATATAGGAGCTATATCTAAATCTAAACCGATTTTCAGGAAACTCAACACACACCATTCTAGACCTAATTCATTACGCTATGCCAAATTTCGTGCAAATCGAATGATATATAGGAACTTTGGTACACCATTTACATTAAATCGGACGAAAATATATATGGGAGCTATATTTAAATCTGGACCGATTTTCAGGAAACTTGACACACAACAGTCTAGACCTAATCCATTACGCTATGCCAAATTTCGTGCAAATCGAAAGATATATAGTGTCTTTAGTAAACCATTTACATTAAATCGGACGAAAATATATATGGGAGCTATATCTAAATCTGAACCGATTTTTCTCAATTTCAATAGGGTTCGTCCTTGGACCAAAAAGGTGACCTATGCCAAATTTCATCCAATTCGTATCATAAATGCGACCTGTACTTTGTTTACAATTTAACATGGACAGACAGACGGACGGACAGACGGACATGCATAAATCGACACAGAAAGTGATTCTATGCATATTCTCAAAAGGAACCATGTGTCTATCTCGTTTCCTTTTGCCTGTTTGTCACAAAGACATAATACCCTGTACCACAGTGTGGTGAAGGGTATAAAAACCTAAAGAGCATGGCCAAAAGTGATGAACTGCCGAATTTGGGTTTCTTCGATGAGAAATCATTCGTTGTTCAGCAGTTTGTAAACAAACAATATGATCGTGTTTACTTGCCATAGAGGTTAGCTGAAATGTGAACCTTCGCTTGGCCACCAAAACCCAAGCGCCGGCCATGGTAATGGTGTGGGCCGCCATAACAGCCGATGATATCTCTTCGCTCGTATTAATCGAATATCATCAGAAAAAATGCTGAATATTATCGCGAAAATATTCTGGAGGATGTATTAAAGCCTTCCAAGACATTCCAACATGATCATCCTGAGTGCGATGGTGGACGCGCCATCCAAGAATGGTTACAAAATGAGGTTCCTCGCTATTCGATGGACTATTGCGGAGTATTTTGGAAAGCAAGGTTGGCACTAAAAAATACCAAAGTGTCGATCACCTCAACCGCTTCGCCGGGAATGGGCCAAAATACCGCAGAGCAAAAATCGGGCAGCGTGTGATGGTTTCATTGCCGTTTGAAGGCCATAATTCGCGCCAAAGCTGACCAATTTGAACAAATCTAAATATATTCCAAAATTTGAAGCTATTTCCGACATTTTTGCTTTCATTCAATAGAATTTTTTAAAAAAACGTGTAAAAATTATGGCGCTTGACTTTGTTGCAGTTTTTTTTTATCTCACCCTGTATGTACGACAACCACTGTAGATTTCAATCAAAAAAATTTTATACTCACCCAAAAATGTTTCAATTTTCTTTAGCTGCGATACCGGATCATCTATCAGACGATCGCCATTGACAACCAATATCTGTTCTCTAGGGAAGACTTCCAGCCAACGATGCAAATGTAAATGATACATGGATATGGTTAAGGGGCGATAGGATTCGTTAACAGTGCCATTGGGAAAAATGGCCAACTCTTCAAAGGATCTGCTGGAAGCGAGACATGAAAGAAAACACAACATGTAAAAAACAAGAGCTTCAGTAAAGGCTTTTGACTAAAGGAGGACAAAAAAAATCTTTGAAAAATTTTTTATTTTTTTTTATTTTGATGGAAAATAGGCTGCTCCAAAAATAACATTTAAATTTTTGTAGTGAATTTAGATTGGAACACATGCTCTGAATGTACCAACCCGTATGATAACTGAAAGTACATTCTTGCCTTTAAATATTAAAATGAAAACCCGCCCCTCCCAAAAAATAGTGTCACAACTTACTTTGATAAAATTTGAGCTGCTGCCGCGGCCGCCGATGCAGGACTCGGTGTTGTTGTTTCATATTGCCGCATTGAATGTGCATTTTTATTATAGCCAGACTTTAAACTACCGGCACCTGAACCGTACACATATCGACCACCACCACTACCGGGGCCAATACCACCGACACCTGCACCACCGCCTCTTCCTCCTCCTCCTCCGCCACCAGCATCTATGGAATTGTCGTATATTTGTGATGAAGAGTAACCGGCATTTAATTTGTTATAGAGCATCGACGATGAGTGCGAGGACAATTTGCCCGAATTTCCCGAAGATGAGGACTGTGGTTGCTGCTGCTGTTGTTGTTGCTGATGCGGCTGTTGGTTTTCATTGGCGTTGGCCAGTGGTAATGTGGCCGTTGCAGCATGACTACGTAATTGCGTATAATCAGAAATGGCTCTTGTCACCGGCTCTCGGACAATTAACAAAAGTTTTATGCTTGCATTCATGGCTCGTACACGTTCTGGTACCTGCAAAACAAATTGCCGGCAGATAGACAACAACATGAAATGGACGGGAAAAAAGGAGAAGAAAAAAGAAGACAAAAAACATTACATCATCAGACAATGGAGCAATACAAATGGAAATTTAAACATAATTTGTCCAATATTCGGTTAAAAGCTACGTACACACACATACACGCAAAAACACATTCAGCATACGAGTATGTAGCTGACAATTATTCGGCGATATGTTAAAAGGACATTCACACTAGGATTGGTAGAAAAAAGAGAAATTCGCAAACACACACACTGATATAAATGCTTGTTCTGCGGTAGTAAGCATAATTTTCGAATTCGGCATTTGCCAGTAATCCTGCCACAAAACTTCGAATATAGTGGCAATAAGGATAAGAGAGTAAGATGGTGGGATTTCATGTTATAGGGATGGATTTTTAAAGAAAATTTTTCAAGTAGTGTCCGGGACATAAGTACGGATTTTTCCAAGAAATCTTTTCAGATAGTATTATGAGATCATAGACATTGATATTTTAAAAAATCTTTCGAAGGGATATTTTGCAAGAAAGAATATTTGGCGAGGACTTACAGGGCCTAGGCGTCGATTTTAAAGAATAATTGGCAAGGACTTTAAGGGCCTAGGCGTCGATTTTAAAGAATAATTGGCAAGGACTTTAAAGAATAATTGGCAAGGATTATAAACAATAATTGGCGAGGATTTGCAGGTTCCTAGGCGTGGATTTTTTAAAAATATTTTTCAGGTCTATTCCTAGGCGTGGATTTTTTAAAAATATTTTTCAGGTCTATTCCTAGGCGTGGATTTTTTAGGACTTGCAGGTTCCTAGGCGTGGATTTTTTAAAGAATATTTGGCAAGGACTTGAAGGTTCCTAGGCGTGGATTTTTAAAGAATATTTGGCAAGGACTTGCAGGTTTCTAGGCGTGGATTTTTTAAAGAATATTTGGCAAGGACTGGCAGGTTTCTAGGCGTAGATTTCTTAAAGAATATTTGCCAAGGACTTGCAGGTTTATAGGCTTGGATTTTTTAAAGAATATTTGGCAAGGACTTGCAGGTTTATAGGCGTGGATTTTTTAAAGAATATTTGCCAAGGACTTGCAGGTTTCTAGGCGTGGATTTTTTACAGAATATTTGGCAAGGACTTGCAGGTTTATAGGCGTGGATTTTTTACAGAATATTTGGCAAGGATTTGCAGGTTTCTAGGCGTGGATTTTTTAAAGAATATTTGGCAAGGACTTGCAGGTTTATAGGCGTGGATTTTTTAAAGAATATTTGGCAAGGACTTGCAGGTTTCTAGGCGTGGATTTTTTAAAGAATATTTGGCAAGGACTTGCAGGTTTATAGGCGTGGATTTTTTAAAGAATATTTGGCAAGGACTTGCAGGTTTATAGGCGTGGATTTTTTAAAGAATATTTGGCAAGGGCTTGCAGGTTTATAGGCGTGGATTTTTTAAAGAATACTTGGCAAGGACTTGCAGGTTTATACGTATACACGTTCTGGTACCTGCAAAACAAATTGCCGGCAGATAGACAACAACATGAAATGGACGGGAAAAAAGGAGAAGAAAAAAGAAGACAAAAAACATGACATCATCAGACAATGGAGCAATGCAAATGGAAATTTAAACATAATTTGTCCAATATTCGGTTAAAAGCTACGTACACACACATACACGCAAAAACACATTCAGCATACGAGTATGTAGCTGACAATTATTCGGCGATATGTTAAAAGGACATTCACACTAGGATTGGTAGAAAAAGAGAAATTCGCAAACACACACACTGATATAAATGCTTGTTCTGCGGTAGTAAGCATAATTTTCGAATTCGGCATTTGCCAGTAATCCTGCCACAAAACTTCGAATATAGTGGCAATAAGGATAAGAGAGTAAGATGGTGGGATTTCATGTTATAGGGATGGATTTTTAAAGAAAATTTTTCAAGTAGTGTCCGGGACATAAGTACGGATTTTTCCAAGAAATCTTTTCAGATAGTATTATGAGATCATAGACATTGATATTTTAAAAAATCTTTCGAAGGGATATTTTGCAAGAAAGAATATTTGGCGAGGACTTACAGGGCCTAGGCGTCGATTTTAAAGAATAATTGGCAAGGACTTTAAGGGCCTAGGCGTCGATTTTAAAGAATAATTGGCAAGGACTTTAAAGAATAATTGGCAAGGATTATAAACAATAATTGGCGAGGATTTGCAGGTTCCTAGGCGTGGATTTTTTAAAGAATATTTGGCAAGGACTTGCAGGTTTTTTTGGCAAAGACTTGCACGTTTCTAGGCGTGGATTTTTTAAAGAATATTTGGCAAAGACTTGCACGTTTCTAGGCGTGGATTTTTTAAAGAATATTTGGCAAAGACTTGCAGGTTTCTAGGCGTGTATTAATAAAATAAAGAGTACGTTATCGTTAATGGATGGGTTTTTTATTTACTTCAAACTTTAAATATGTTTAAGACCATTCTATTTATATTGACCGTTTCAGGGTACCTTAAGGATTCCCTAGAACTAATCCCCAAACGAATATCTTTCATTAATGCTTCTATTCTTAGCTATCAATACGTGAGTCTCCCTAGTCTGGGTAAAAACAATAAATGAAGTAAATAACCAGGAACAGAAGCAGTATTATACTGCAGGAATAAATATAGAAAAATTCCAACAACACATACATACGCACACACATACAAAAATTATTATTTCATTCTTTCGAACAAAGTAACAAGAACAACTACTACCACAAAAAAAGGAAACTCATCCATTATTTAAACTACGGACATTTAATTAAATTCCTATTCAACTTTCCAAACCCCATTTATTTATTACGAGAGAATAAAGCGGAGAAAACATGCTTAATTGCATTACTTTCGCTTCAATTTGTAGCAGGCCAAAGGATCAGCTCGGATTGTGGGTGTGCCTTCCATAATGGTAAATAGCTATACTGAACGGAACCGAACACACTAGATTGTAAAAAAGACCACAACAAAAATCCCACCATCGACAAAACCCCTATGGAGTTAAGTAGCCGTTATGGTCGGGGAACGGATGTTAGATGTGATTATTTACTGGGAGTACATTCGGCAGCAATGCCAAGCACCAACATCGTCGTCCTTGTCGTCACATTAATACGAAAGGACATAAAATTGCTATCAGACAAAAATGGGCTGAAATTATGCTACTGCAATTGTTGGATGCACAGAGAGAGAGAGGAGACAGGAGAGGTGAAGAGACATTATTTCCATTCATTCTATGGAAAACATCCTGGTTAACTGCTAAACCAACCATAACAGAGACTCTAAAAATATACCAAACCAACTGCATCCACTGTATGCTTTGTGTGTCCTTTCTTCACAAAAGCCTAGTAATAAAGTGACCGTCATTATGCATTTACTTCGATCCTTAAATGGCATTGTTATCATGGGTATGTGAATTACCATTGAGACTATTTCACGATGCCATAAAAAGACTATTTCCACTTGGAGTGATATTGTTAGAAATTCTAAACGAACAATAAGTATTTGAATAGAAAGCAAGTGAATATCATGAGGGGGAACATGAGGGGAAATAGGATTGCTATATAAGGTTTAACATTTTATTATGGCAACTGAGGCGTGGATTTATTAAAGAATATTTTTCAAGGGCCAACTGAGGCGTGGATTTATTAAAGAATATTTTTCCTGAACCCCTGCCAAATTCAACCGGGCCGATTTGTTAAAGAATATCCTTCAAGGGCCAACTGAGGCGTGGATTTATTAAAGAATATTTTTCAAGGGCCAACTGAGGCGTGGATTTATTAAAGAATATTTTTTCAAGGGCCAACTGAGGCGTGGATTTATTAAAGAATATTTTTTCAAGGGCCAACTGAGGCGTGGATTTTTTAAAGAATATTTTTCAAGGGCCAACTGAGGCGTGGATTTATTAAAGAATATTTTTCAAGGGCCAACCGAGGCGTGGATTTATTAAAGAATATTTTTCAAGGGCCAACTGAGGCGTGGATTTATTAAAGAATATTTTTCAAGGGCCAACTGAGGCGCGGATTTATTAAAGAATATTTTTCAAGGGCCAACTGAGGCGTGGATTTATTAAAGAATATTTGACAAGGGCCAACTGAGGCCAACTGATGCGTGGATTTATTAAAGAATATTTTTAAAGGGCCAACTGAGGCGTGGATTTATTAAAGGATATTTTTCAAGGGCCAACTGAGGATATTTTTCAAGGGCCAACTGAGGCGTGGATTTATTAAAGAATATTTTTCAAGGGCCAACTGAGGCGTGGATTTATTAAAGAATATTTTCAAGGGCCAACTGAGGCGTGGATTTATTAAAGAATATTTTTCAAGGGCCAACTGAGGCGTGGATTTATTAAAGAATATTTTTCAAGGGCCAACTGAGGCGTGGATTTATTAAAGAATATTTTTTCAAGGACTATTAGAGGCGTGGATTTATTAAAGAATATTTTTCAAGGGCCAACTCTGGCGTGGATTTATTAAAGAATATTTTTCAAGGGCCAACTGAGGCGTGGATTTATTAAAGAATATTTGGCAAGGACCAACTCTAGGCGTGGATTTATTAAAGAATATTTTTCAAGGGCCAACTGAGGCGTGGATTTATTAAAGAATATTTTTCAAGGGCCAACTGAGGCGTGGATTTATTAAAGAATATTTTTCAAGGGCCAACTGAGGCGTGGATTTATTAAAGAATATTTTTCCAGGGCCAACTGAGGCGTGGATTTATTAAAGAATATTTTTCAAGGGCCAACTGAGGCGTGGATTTATTAAAGAATATTTTTCAAGGGCCAACAGAGGCGTGGATTTATTAAAGAATATTTTTCAAGGGCCAACTGAGGCGTGGATTTATTAAAGAATATTTAAGAAGGGCTATTACTGAGGCGTGGATTTATTAAAGAATATTTAATAAATTAGCACTGAGGCGTGGATTTATTAAAGAATATTTTTCAAGGGCCAACTGAGGCGTGAATTTATTAAAGAA